TGTTAGACCGCCTGCTCCCGTTCAAATTACACCAGAGTTACTGACGGCTACCGCGTTTTATTTGGGAATTTAATCCCGCGGCGCATAAAATCTGGTCGGTCCACCCGGGAGAGCCGCGGGAATGCAGACCTCTACCCTGAGGGCATTTTTGGCCTCACTGAAGTTGATTGTTTTTTGTGAGTGACACAAAAATAATGACTCATAACTCGAACACTGTACCAAGGAGAGTCAAAAGCTTGGTATTGTTTGATAGAAACCTTTCTGTACTTTCAGTAGAAAAAAATTATTTCATTTGGGCATTCTCCTGCTCAGAAATAGCTGATAAAAATTTTAGGAAAATTTGAGTGCTCAAGAGAAATTTTTCATATCGGTCTTATTTGACATTCAATATCTCAGGACAGAAATAAGGTAGGAGGAAAATTCGTCTTTTGATGATGTTCCCCAGCATGTTAGCTGTATCTGTTTCAAATTTTGTGGTGATAGCATAAAGTATCCAAAAGTTACAGTATTTTGTAACAAAACAGGCCTTTTTGTTTAGCTCTTGACTCCCTGAAGGAATTTTAAAAACTGTTGTTTTCTGAGTGCCATACAAAAGGTAGGTATCGTTTGATAGAAATCTTTCTATATTTTTAGGGGGAAAAAATATTTGCATTTGAATATACTCATGTTGCGAAATAGGTGATAAAATGTTAGAAAAATTTGTGTGGTCAAGGGAAATTTTTCATATCATTCTTATTTGACGTTCAATATCTCATGAAAGAAATAAATAATTTTTTTGGTGATGCTCCTCAACATGTGTGCTGTATGTGAAGTACGTTTTGTGGTGATATTATGAAGTAATCAAACGTTACAGCATTTGGAACCAAGGTAGCCTTTCTCTTAGCCCTTTACAGTTTTGAAATTGTTGTTTTGAATTTGAAGTAATGCCTCACTCAAGTTTAGTCAACAATATCTCATGAAAGAAATAAGGTAGGAGAAAGAATATTTTTTGGTGATGCTCGCCAACATGTGTGCTGTATGTGAAGTACATTTTGTGGTGATATTATGAAGTAATCAAACGTTACAGCATTTGGAACCAAGGTAGCCTTTCTCTTAGCCCTTTACAGTTTTGAAATTGTTGTTTTGAATTTGAAGTAATGCCTCACTCAAGTTTAGTCAAAGCCCCAAACAATTATACTTGTTTTATTCTACTCGATGAGACCTTTCAAATGACATATGACACATGACTAGCTGAGCTTTATGATGTTTCTGACATATTTGAGTACATGGCACAAAAAAACATTTTTTATAAATTATGAAAACATTTTTTTCTATTTATCCGCAAAGAACTCAGCACTACTTAGGAGTTAATCAAAGTGGCCACATGCATTGTAAAGTTCAGACTCCAAGCTTTCAAATGACACCTATTTTGTGTTGATGAAGGCAGTTATTTTGAAAAATATGATTTTTTTTTTTTTCTTCGCTAGGGGGCGCCCGCCGGCGGTACACTCCGGTTTAGAGGAACTAGGCAGCACTGGTTAGGAGTCGATCAAAATGGTTGGATGCATTCGAAAGCTGAATTTCTAAGCTTTAAAATGATACCTAATTATTAAAAACTCGAAACTTTCAAATGATATCCATGTTTTGTTGATCAAGGCCATGGTTAGAAAAATATGATTAGTAATATTTTCGCGGCGGGGAGGCGTCTGGTACACTTCGGTTTAGAGGGACTGCTCAATGCTCGTTAAGAGTTGATCAAAATAATTACATTCATTAAAGGTTTAAAGGGTTAAGAACATAATTCCGCAAATAAATGCAATTGCAGGTTTTAAACAGAGATGGCGACAAAGAGGAAAAACTTACTGACTGCAGCTTTAAGTTTAATAGTAACTTAAATATAAAAAAATACAGTATATATTATTTAGTTGCCATAGCAGTAACTATTTTCATTTAAATTGATTTCATTTTCATTTGAAGTACGAAAATATCTAAAACTAAAACCTAATAAAAATAATATAAAAAAATCTAATAAAAATGACAAAAATACAAAAAACAAAATTGCTAAAAATGTACCTATAATTAAAATGAGAACAGAAAATATAAAACTTAAATGTTAAAAATATTAATGAAAACTAATAGTTTATTAGTGATATTAAAATAACACTGACTCTAGCCTTTTGATGGTGAGGCTAGAATGTCGAAATAACAAACTATTTGAAGTATTTGCTCAATTTTATATTCTTATGAGACACATTTTTTTTGTATCAGGACTTGAGATTGACTCAGAAAAACTTGTAAAATGTATTGTATTATTATATTGTTGAATGTTTCATTTGTATTTGACATGTTAATGCCGGTGAAGCTGATAATATCAGTTTAATAAATGTAAGTACAACAACAGCTTTTCTTCATTCCATCTCTTCACATCTTTGCTCGTTTTTACAGGGCTGCGCAAGCACGACGTTTGCTTTCTGATCACGGTGCGGCCCAACCTGCTCTTCGGCACGCGCTTTGACCGCCGGCAGCCATTTGTGGATCAGGCCGGGCTTGTGTACGTGAGAGGCTGTGAGGTGCAGGGCATGCTGGATGATAAGGGCCGCGTCATAGAGGAAGGTAAGACCGTTTACTGAGTTCACTGAACCGGGTGATCAACAGACAGAGCACAGACTAGACTGTCAGAGCTTTCTAAGCACAAGTCATAAGCATAGAGTTTCATGTGGGTTGCCATGCTTTTACAAATGAACACATGCACACATCAAAAATCTAGCAAAAACATCAAATAACTTTTCTATGTGAATATCTTGTAAAATGTAATTTATTTCTGTGATCAAAGCTGAATTTTCAGCATCATTACTCCAGTCTTCAGTGTCACATGATCTTCAGAAATCATTCTAATATGCTGATTTGCTGCTCGAGACACATTTCTGATTATCAGTATTGAAAACTGAATCTCTCTCACACTGACCCTGGACGGTCCTCACTGTTGGACCTTCTGAATGTGGTCTAGTATCACTGGTCATTTCTGGTCCAGTGATTTCAGTGTCAATTCACTTGACAAATTAACCTCAATTTAGACTGAATATTGATTTCCATCATTACATTTATTCGTTTAGCAGTGGCTTTTATACAGAGCAACTTACAAATGAGGAATCATCTTGTGACTAATTTATGGTTTTATTTGTGCAAAGGTCCTGATCCGAAGCCCAAATTAAAAGGTGACACCAGGACGTTCCGGATATGGCTCGACCCAAACCAGTACCAGCAGGACATGACCAACAGCATCCAGAACGGAGCAGAAGACCCCTACGAGACCTTCAATATCATCATGAGACGCAAACCCAAAGAGAACAACTTCAAGGTCAGACCATTCCCGATATATGCCTGCCAGTAGACTGTTGACTGCAACTAAAAATATATAACTGTTAAAAAATGTATATAAATTAAATAAACAATAGCTGAAATAATAACTTTAATTTGAAAGAAGAAAAAAAAAACTTGGTTGCCAATGCAAAATTTCTAATTTTAGTTAAATTTATAGTTTAAGTGATTGGTTCATAATTTAAATAGTAAAATATGAAAGCCTGTTTGCACCATGGAATACATTTTTTTTAAAAAGGTTATTGTTTTTACCTTGTGATTTTGCCTTTTTTTTTCTCGCAAAAATAACTGAATTGCAAGATAAAAACTCAGAATTCTGACTTTCTCAGAATTCCGAATTTACGCAATTCTGACTCATTATTTCTCAGAATTCCGAGTTCACATCTAGCAATTCAGGGCCCGTATTCACAAAACATTTTATCTTACCACTAAGAGTTCTCCTAAATAGCAGTAAAAGTTTTTAGCTAAGAGTTTTCTCTTAAAACCAATTCACAAAGCTGCTGAGACAAACTTTTATTAAGGAATAGAGAGAAATCTTAAGCTAAGAGTAAGGGGGCGGAGTTGACCTCGTTGCTATGGATGATGTCAGGATGCTTATTAACTATGCACACAGTGATTGGCTGATAGTCTCTGTCAGAGATTTATTCATAGAAATAATGTAGAGTGTGATATTATGTTGTCATATTCAAATAAAGGTCATGTTGCCATAAACAAATAAATAAACAACCTTTTAATTAACAGAGTAGAATAATCATGACTTATAGTAAGACATGCAAACGTAAAAGAAAACCAAACTGGACGGAACAGCTGTTACTTCTTACCCAACTGGTTAATGAAAACAAGGATATAATCAAAGAAAAAATTGGAGTTGGGATAACCTCCAAAACCGAAGGCAATACCTTTCTAAAAGCTCATTATCGTCAAATGTTTCTGAAATGTATACATTCCAAGGCAGATTGCCGGCAACAGCTATTTTAGGATAGTTTGTGGCTTGGTCTTAGTGACTTAGGAGTCCTCTTCACTACTCCTAACGTTCCACAGATGTAGAAGCTAGTTTTAGTGCTGAAACGCTTTCTGAAATACTCTTAGAGCAATTTCAAAAGACTAAATGGTAGATCGTTTAATAAATAAAACTTTAACATCTGGAAAAAAAACAAATTTGAAATATTAATAAATACTATCTATTAATGATGCTAAAAAACGCTGGCCAGGAAGCGCCTAATCAGATTGGAAGTAGATATTGCCTTTTAATCAACACAAAAAATAGAGCTTTGGTGATTCGTCCATCCACAGTGATCAAAAATGAATTTGTTTTGTTGTGTTCAGGCCGTGTTGGAGACCATTCGTAACCTGATGAACACCGAGTGTGTGGTGCCCGACTGGCTTCACGACATTATTCTGGGTTATGGAGATCCTGGTAGTGCTCATTACTCAAAGATGCCTAACCAGATTCCCTCTCTGGACTTCAACGACACCTTCCTGTCCATCGAGCACCTGAAGTCCTGTTTCCCCAACCACACGGTGAAGGTGACCGAGGAAGATCCCGCTCGACAGGTCCCGCCTTTCGATCAGAGCGTTCACACTGCACGCGATTGCAGTGCGCTCCAGGAGCGGTGCGTCTGCAAGTCATGCTGCAATCGCTTCCGCACGGAGTCTATAGGCCCGGGTATACTTCACTCTCCGCGTTCCGTTCCGTCTCGCGCACAGCCACGTCCGCACAGCTTTCAAAGGACGGACGAGCTCGACACAGGCGCAAGTCTATTTCTGCTGTGCTGCACGCGCTGAATTATAGTGACAGCGCATTATTCGCGGTAAAAATTAACATGGATTGACACGGAAATTTAGTAATTACACCATAAATGCATATAATTAAAGTCTACTGTTTCACAGTCAACGCTTCTGCATCGCATACACATACTGTATACGCACTGCAGACGGAGTACGTGAGAACTTGGCGCAACAAATCTAGTTCAACATCTGAGGCAACGCCACAAAGCGCTCTATGACCAATGCATGGCAAAAAAAATCCCTGGACACGGGATTTTTGTTTTATTTTTTTCTGCCATATGTCTATTCTACAGACATTTTGTTACACCTTTACTTAGTGATTATTTTGCCTTATGTCTGTTCTAGAGACATGTTACAGCTTCTTGATAAAGCTCTAATTGGTTTTCTTTTGGAAATATGTTTCAAATTCACACTGAATGCATTAATGACTAAAGCATGTCTGTGTGTGTCAAAATCGTGATTAAAATCGAAATCGCAATATTGATCAAAGAAATCGTGATAGGTTTTTTTTGTCCATATCGCACAGCCCTAAATACATATTCTGTGGAAGGCGTAGGACCGAGAAATGTTTTTTTCCATTTTCTGAGATCTCCTACTGCACCTTTAAATAGCAAAATTATTTCGCAATATTACTGTTTTTACTTTATTTTGTAATGCAATCCTTGGTGAGCAGAAGAGATTTCTTTAAACTTTATTATTATTTTTTTTACTTACCAACCCCAATGATGATTTGTGATGAAGGATTGAAATTGCGTCTCTTTTCTCTACCAGAATTCGATTCCCTGCACAGAATGCGAAGGGTAAAAAGCGTAAAGCAAATGAGGAGGAGAAGCCAGATGAGGAAGATCTCACGCTGGTGGTGGAGCCTCATGTGATTCCCAACAGGGGCCCGTATCCCTACAACCAGCCCAAGCGGTGTGTGGAGCTCATGCTCACAGGTTCAGGGCCAAACCTTTTAGACAGTCCAAGATCTGTTCTTGGTTCAGCCTATCAGCCAAAGATGCACTCAATATACGTATAAACTTTGCCTGTTATGGAAACACTGACATCCATTTTTGTCCACTTCAACAGAAACACAATCCAGTTTACATCAACCCAGATTGAAGCCATACGTGCAGGGATGCAACCGGGACTTACTATGGTAAGAAATCTCTTTATTACACCTAACACGGTTTTTATTTATATATACAGTGGTGGCCAAAATTATTAGAACACTAGTATTTTCACCAGATAACAAATGGTACAAAATCTTTTGCTGTAGTGTGTCGATAGGAAATATCAGTTTGCATTTCATTTTACAAGGTAGGTCTCTTAAAGCATCTTGGAGACGTCTCCACAGTTCTTCTGGATTGAGTCTGTCTCAGTTTGTTCTGTTTCTTCATGTCATTCCAGACAGACTGATGATGATGATCAGATCAGATCTCTGTGTGCAGCAAACAAAACTCTCACTGGATTATTACAATTAATGGCAAAATTAATGTTTGGAAATGCAAACTGATATTTCCTACTGACACACTACAGCAAAATTACAATTACAAAATTAATGTTTGGAAATGCAAACTGATATTTCCTACAGACACACTATAGCAAACGATAGAAATAACTGACTTAAAACCATTTTTTAGCTTGTCAAAATACTAGTGTTCTAATCATTTGTATGTGTGTGTGTGTGTATATATGCACCTGTGGGTGCAGGACATATATATATATATATATATGCTTATTTTATTTATTTCTAATTTTCCTGTTCTTTGCTTTGCCTCATGACTTATCTTCCTCCCAGCCAATAATGAGAAAGATATTCATCTCACTGCAGTTACTGATATTTCTTTCAGTGCTTTAGCTGGTTTTCAGTCTGTAATGAAAGTGTCTGTCAGTCTCTCCCTGTGTGTTTATCTTGCTCTTTCTCTTTGCTGTAGGTTGTTGGTCCTCCCGGCACAGGAAAAACAGACGTGGCCGTTCAGATCATCTCCAACCTGTACCACAACTTCCCCGAGCAGAGGACGCTTATCGTCACACACTCGAATCAGGTACACACACAACACTGTTACTGAAGAAATGCTTCAGTTAGGATCACAAATCACTTCAACTGCTAAATCATGACCATTAAACCAATCTCAACATCTGTGAGTTATATAGGGACTTAAAAAATATACATCACTGAAACAGTTCTCTACTGTATGTCAATTTTTTGAATATGGGTGCGTTTGTCTTGTTCAGGCTCTGAACCAGCTGTTTGAGAAGATTATGGCATTAGACATTGATGAGCGTCACCTTCTGCGTCTGGGACATGGAGAAGAAGAACTAGAGACTGAGAAAGATTTCAGCAGGTGCAGCTTTCTCTCTCTCTCACGCACGCACGCACGCACACATTTAACAGCAGCACACAAGTGGCATGGGCCAAATCAATTCTGATTTACTATATACTATTGCTATTAATGATTAATTTTTTCTATCAATTATTTTTCTGTTTAGTCAGTTAATCTAACATTTTTTCCCCTGATAAATCTGTTGATTATTTTTTATTCATTGATTAATTATTTGGTTAATTTGTCAATAAATCATAACCATAGCTATAAATAACAACTTTAATTAATTTTCCAACAATTTATTCAAACATTTTCTCCATAAAAGCAGTTAATTTACAAATAAAAGCAATAATTAAAAGGCATTTATCAGTAATGCAAATGTCCATGAGTCCAACATAAATTCAGCCCAACAATGGCAAGTGCTGGTTATACTTAGAAGTGCACTATTTATTTAACATTTCTGGTGTGTATCCATTTTTCTCAAGAAAATGTCTCTTAAATAGGGGTGGGAATCTTTAGTCACCTCACAATCCGATCCAATTCCGATTCTAGGAGTCACGATCCGATTCCAGAACTATTCTTGATCTACTTTCCCCCCCCTTATTAATTAATTAGTTTACCGACGTGAGAATCTTAAAATCCTTAAATTTACATACCCTTACATAAGTAATTAAGTACTTTTTAAAATAATTAAAAATAATAATTAAAAGAGTTGTATGTTAAGAATTTTAAACTAATATATCTTCAAAACATACAAGCAAGTAGCAAATAATAAAGAGGAGCATAGAAACATATTACAAACAACAAACAAAGAGTGCTTTCAGTATTCAGTAAGATTATCTGAACGATTTCCATTCAAGAACTGTGAGTGATTTTTCTTCATCTTTACTGTTGTTTTTTTACTATGACGTCATAGACAGCGGGAGATCTATTAAAGTCCCCATGAAATCAAAATTAAAGTTTTTTGGGTGTTAGTATCAATGTTAGTCTTAAGGTTATCTACAAGGCAGTGTGCTCCAAAACAGTGACAACATTCGCGTTTAGAAGAAATAAGCATTCAAAGCTTGCAGTTCGTCACTTCCGCCAAAACAGCTCAACGATTTTTTTGACGTCACATCGTACTTCAGCTTCTCATCAAACTTTCTGTCCAATCAAATACTCTCTAGAATCCGAAGCGCTATTCTAGAGTGTGTTATAAATTTATACACACTATAAAATAGACGCTGAAGCCGCGGCTGAAATCGGTCGCTTGTCCACAGAATTAATATTTTCTATACAGTGAATGGCACGTAGTGCACTATATAGGGGACAGGGAACGAGTCAAACAGTGTAAATATGCTTTCCATTGAGGAAAAAAAGAAGTCTGGTTTGGCGCTGTGTCACGCTAACCACCGCACCGCACACACACTCTGCTCCGGTCCAAATATAAGTAGTAATGTGGTTTGTCCTGTCCGTTTAATCCCTTAAGACATAACTGGCTGTGTTTACATTAATTTTGCATCATAAAACCATTTTGAGACGCAAGTACATTAAACCACTAACACGGAGTCGCACACAGCCGCATGCGCGAGCAGTCTTCACAAACAAAGTGCGCGTCAGCATTTGAAATTGAAAGCAACTTTCTGTTAGTGAGGTTCATATTTTAAATATATAAGTCCACTGCATTCCAAACCACATAAATGATGACTTCGTAGAGCATTTGTAAGGAAAATACCGACGAGCGAGACCGCACACTTCAAGTGTAACATCAAACAAAGCGTGCATCCTGTGCAATGAAGCCCGCTAATGTCCTTGTAATTCACTTCAACCTTTCCGAACTTTATGAAAGATTATTTTATGGAAGGTTCGAGTGGTGTATGTGTGTGAGGAATTGGAAGCAAGCAGAATACGGGTGTTTCTAAAGCAAACTCAGCGTCATCGTGCATCTGGTTAAAAACTAAGCTCAGAATCGATTCTGAAATTCAACCTAAAGATACCGAACCTAAAGGTGTAGTGATACATTCACAATCTGATTGTTCGGGTTGAATGACGTATATTTCATGGCAGAACTTGCCAAACAGTAGCGGTACATTCACACGGGGCGTCGGCATCAACGCCTGTCATTTACTTTGAATGGAGTGACGTCAAGCATTGCCGAACTGAGTTGTGGATCCGTTGTGTTGTGTCACTGGCGTTGCTTGCTTGCTCAAATTTTCAAGTGCCAACGCAGGTGTCAGCCAATTAGATCGCCATTCATGTTCATGCAACACCAGAAAAGTAATGTGATTGGCTGTTGTCACTACAAAAGTCGTGTCAACACAAAGCTTCAGACATGCCCTCCATCAAGCGTCGACGCTGGTGCCCCGTGTGAATCTACCGTAGGTGTGTTTGTCTTAAAGCGGCGCTGCGCAGACCAATCAGTGTATGACATCAAAGCACCCATTCATCGATCGGTCTGCTCAGGGCCGCTTTAAGTCAAACACACCTAATGCTGTCTGCTGGACTAAGCGCGCTCATTGTTGCGTGTACATATGATTTTATTTTATTTTTTCCTAATATGTGACCCTGGACCACAGTCCATTTACCCTTACAGTCATAAGGGTAAATTTTTCAAAATTGAGATTTATACATCATCTGAAAGCTGAATAAATAAGCTTTCCATTGATGAATGGTTTGTTCGGATCGGACAATATTTGGCCGAGATGCAACTATTTTAAAATCTAGAATCTGAGGGTGCAAAAAAATCTAAATATTGAGAAAATAGCCTTTAAAGTTATCCAAATGAAGTTCTTAGCAATGCATATTACTAATCAAAAATTAAGTTTTCAATAATTTTGACCCATGCAATGTATTTTTGGCTATTGCTACAAATATACCCCAGCGACTTAAGACTGGTTTTGTGCTCCAGGGTCACATATGTTTCTAAATTGCTCCTCAAATTAGGAGCACATGTTTCTTGGAAAAAATGAAGCATAAAGCCCTGATACAGAGTTAGCAAACGGGTTTCTGTCCCGGACAGGATGGTCTTCTCTGAGATGTGGTCGAGTTGAGTATGAACTGTCCTCTGGTCTGTGTCAGGTATGGAAGAGTGAACTATGTTCTGTCTCGCCGTCTGGAGCTCCTGCGAGAGGTGGCGCGTCTGCAGGAGAGTCTAGATGTTCCTGGTGACGTCTCCTACACCTGTGAGACTGCTGGACATTTCTACCTCTACCAGGTACTCAACCACATGCACACGTCACTCCCCTCTGAACAGGATCTGCTTCATGCATCTGCTTCTCTTTGACTGTCATTTCTGTACGAAGGAAGATGGTAGCTCAAACATCTGCTTTCAAATTGCTCCTTTAAAAAAAAAAAATTCTATACCTAGAAATGTCACGCAAGTTTCATTTAAGATCTTAAAGGGTTATTTCACCCAAAAATGAAAAATCGGTCATTAATTACTCACCCTCATGTCGTTCCAAACCCGTAAGACCTTCATTCATCTTCGGAACAAAAATTAAGATTTTTCTGATGAAATCTGAGAGCTCTCTGACCCTCCATAGACAGCAACACAACTGAAATGTTCCCAGGTCCAGAAACGTAGCAAGGTCATCGGTAAAATAGTCCGTGTGACATCAGTGGTTCCGTCGTAATTTTACAAAGCTACGAGAATACATTTTGTGCGCAAAAGCAATAACATAATTTATTCAACAATTCTTCTTCCCGAGTTACTGTCTTCTGCCATTTTGGAGAGTATTGAACGTAATCAGCGTAATGAGCGTTGTTTACGTTCAGCATGCGCGTGCCGTCTACTGAACATAAACAACGCTGATTATGTTCTGGGGTACTTCTTATATTTGTTATATTGCTTTTTTGCATATATTCTTATTTATAATAAAGATAAAATAAAAATAGCTATATTGTGATTATTAATATAGTAATTAATATTAAGAAATGAACTGGAGGAAAAGATGTTGTTAGGTGATTTTGTTTTGGAACCTTCAGAAAACCTTAACTCCATTTTTCTCAGAATTGAGTTTGCTCAATGTATCGACTTCAAACAGGTGTAGCTCAGTCATCTGTCGTTAGATTCCAACAAATCATACAATCATACATGAAATTAAAAATAACTTTATTTTTTCCTAACCCTAACTTGTTAATTAGTTCCTATGTCTTATTAATGTGTGGTCACTGTCCATGTTTCATTAATTTGTCCCTAGAAAACCCATGATTTAACTAAAATGAGGGAACGAATTGGTCATAGGAACGAATTCTTAATTCATGGCCACGAAATCTTTCATTTCCCCCTGCATGTTTACCACAGTAAGAGATGCAAAAACAGTGATTAAAAGTGAACGACAGTAAAATAAACCTGTGAAATTAGAGGGTGAGACGGTGATGATTTGGGAAAAGAAACCATAAATATTATTAGAGTCGTGAAAATTCATGACCAACGGGCAAAACAGAACAGAAAGCCGCGAATGGCTTTAAATGTATCAAACAGCATGAATGCAAAAGCATGGTCACGTTGTAACATTTGCCTGCTAACCAGTTATTTCTCTTATAAACAAAGTTTTGTACCTCACTTGTGTCATAATACTCACATTAAAATGTTTCTTGTGAGCAACAGTGTGTTGAAGAGGTGCACATTTCTCATTCAAAATTCCTTGATTATTACGCCGGAATGAGAGTATAGTTCCTAGCCATATCGGCCTAGAAAATCGCAACTTTTAATTTTCCGTCGGTCTTAGTACACGATGTAACTACAGAAGAGTCAAGTTTTAAATAGGAAAAATATAGAAACTCTTTGGTCATTTTTGAGCGAGATGCTAACGGTCTAATCAGATTCAATGATCTATGCTAAGCTGCAGCTAAAAGTGCTACCGCCAGACCCGGAGATCGGCTGAATGGATTCGAAAACGGTAAAACTCAACTGTTTAACTCTAGGGGAGTTGGAAAATGAGCCTATTTTCAAAAATAGTGGAGTGTTCCTTTAAACTTCTGTAAACCAATATACTGTTACACATCCCTTTTCTCAATTGTTTCCCTTCACCTAAGCCATAAGCATCTGTGTTTACAAGGATACTTGCAGAGCACGGTATTTCAGGTACAAATAGACGCAGAAGTGAACAGAAATTTGTGTTCACGTGCATCTGTGTGTCTCTCACTGTGTCTACACCGGACGCGAGCAGCGCGACGCGACAAAATACAATGAACCCATTATAATCAGTAATGCTGTCTGTCTACACTGGATGCGGCACGACAAATCCCTAAATCCCCGACAGTAAACTGATGCCGCGTTCTCTTTATGACGTACTGACACAAAGTTCAAATGACTGGCAACGGTTGCTTTGTCACGTCCGGTGTAGACAGACTTTGGGGCCATTCACATGTCGTGCCTAAAAACGCGTGGGAAAACGCCAGTCGCGTCGATTTCTCCTTCTTTCCAAAGCGCTCGGGAGCTTGCGCTTTCGTGGCGTCTGCTGTTGCTAAGCAACCGTGACCTGCGCTCTCCTCGACGACGCGGAAGTTTCAACAAAGGATAAATGAATTTCCAGCACTGAAAATCCCTTGCAATAGCTCTGCTACTAAATGTATTTAAAATGGGTATCTCTGTACAGCTGTCGTGTCCGGTGTAGACACCGTGTCTGTGTGTGAGCAAAGAAAACAATCAGTATAAATATAACGAGCAGAAGCCTATACTAAACATCGCACATCCTGTGATGTGACTATCGCGGATGCTGAAACTATATATCGTGCAGCCCTAGTCTCCGTAACAGGATATGAAACAACCAAAAAAAAGTAAAATGATCCATAACTACGGCTCGCTCTCTTCATTTTATCAAATTATCATAATCACATCTATTCATTTTACAATCCTGCTACTAATATGAAACATATAGTCTCGGCTTTCTAATTCTGTCAGTTTTATAACAAACCTCATTGCACTTAATTAAATTTTCATACATATTCATATTTTTACTTAACCTGTCATCTTTATTAATGTATGTTTCAATAAATCTGTCATGAAAACAAGTTATTACAACCACCGTATAAACATGTTTATTTCAGCAACGGATTGAAGTAGAAGTTTATTTACTAAGTTTATATATAAAACTGCTTCATGTGCAATTTAAATGCTATATAAATATGCAACTCCGTTTTTATTTGAGTGTCGATTTTATTAAATTTGATGAATTAAATGACTTTATTTTAGGTTTCCGGCTAAATAAAAACTTTTCAATTTTGATTGCATTTCGGTGCATCACTAATGAGAACCGCTGGTCTGGAGCGCAGCATTGACATGTGAATCTGAGCTGAGGTTCACACAGGTCTGCTTTCATTTGTTTTGCTCTTATCTCTCGCTGCGGTTTGATCCATCATGCTGTGGCCAGTAGATTCATATCAGCACCTCGGGGGATCTGTACGGACCATTAGCTCAGATCACAGATTACAGGCAAACATTAATTAAGTGTGGATTGTGACGAGGCTGTGTGTCCAGTGAAGTGCTCTTAATGAGTTCTGCGCATGAAATCCCCAAGCGCTGATCCTATCTGTCTGTCTGTCTCGGCTGTTGTAGGTAATGTCACGCTGGGAGGAATACATGAGTAAAGTGAAGCCAAAACCCAGCCGAGAGGTGAAGACGGAGGAGGTGGCGTCACACTTCCCCTTCCATAAGTACTTCTCCAACGCTCCTCAGCCGGTGTTTAAGGGCCAGTCGTATCAGGACGACATGGACATCGCTGAGGGCTGCTATTGCCACATCCGCAAGATCTTCACCCAGCTGGAGGTAGGGCTGAAATTAGGGTAGATTTTTGTCCTACTCTGTACATTTATAAAGACCACCATTCAAGTTTGGGGTCAACAAGTTTTTTTTCAGCAAGGACACATTATATTTATCAAAAGATTTCTGTTTCAAATAAATGCTGTTCTTTTGAACTTTCTATTCATCTGTGAATCCTGAAAAATCAAATGTGTTACAGTTTCCACAAAAATATTGGGCAGCACAACTGTTTTCAACATTGATAATAATCAGAAATGTTTCTTGAGCAGCAAATCAGCATATTAGAATGATTTCTGAAGATCATGTGACACTGAAGACTGGAGTAATGATGCTGAAAATACAGCTTTGATCACAGAAATAAATTACATTTTACAAGATATTCCCACACAAAACAGTATTTTAACACTATTTTTACGGTGTTTGATCAAATAAATGCAGCCTTGGTGAACAAAAGAAATGTTTCTTAAAAAAAAACGTCATAAAAAAAATGTACGTAAAAGTTATACATACACATTAATATGTATGACCATGTGTATTTGGCCTGTTATGGGTATATTTTTTTTTTAATACAATTGCTCAAATGAACACACAGTCAGACCTTTTACTGCCGGCATAAAGTCTTGTCAACTTTGCTGCTTGGAAAGATAAAGAAAATATAGAAAAAGAAAAGCACAGCAACAAAAGTGTTTTGTTTTTTTTTAGCACCTTTTAGGTAGGGACAGGTTTTTCTGAAATAGATAAGATATAGCCTAATAGTACAGTATAAAAAATAATGTGGGAAATATCTTATATGTGACCCAGGAGCACAAAAGCAGTCTTAAGTCGCTGGGGTATATTTGAGCAGCAGTTACTGGGCAAGTACAGTGCAGCAGGTCGAGTATATTTAATACACTGCATCATCAGTGATCATTTTACCCCCCCAAAAAAAAGTTAAAAAACATCTTAATAAAATTGCTCATTAATTTTGACTAATAGGTTTCTCTGTCACAAAACTGCTATCGTTTGTCAGTGAATTGTTGCATGCAAAGTTTCATGCCAATGTGCGTGGTCTTTTTTCCCCATCAGATTTGTTGACAAAAACAATTGGTTATACCAATACTTTTTAAAACTTCAGTCAATTCTGTAATCTGTCTTTTAATAATATTATAATCTGAAGATAATCTACCCCAAATTTAGTGAAAATGCGATAAATTAAAAAAAAAGTGTTGCTGAAAATGCGATAATGTAGGAGGAGTTTAAAAAGTCTGCTTTTGGTGAAATTCTGAATGGCATACAGGCACTATGGCAGACTGTGGCACTATGGGTGATTGACCAGTACAAAGGAGATCAGGCTCATGAAAATAGGCTACATTAATAATAATTGGTGGTTCAAAACTTCAGACCTTTCAGATAAGCCATGGTGCCTCTAGTTTCATCATATGACGACATGATATATACATTTCAAAATGCCCAACATGGCTGATAGTAATGAAGTTCTTAGCAATGCATATTACTAATAAAAAATTACGTTTTGATATATTTACAGTAGGAAATTTACAAAATATCTTCATGGAAAATGATCTTTACTTAATATCCTAATGATTTTTGGCATAAAAGAAAAATCGATCATTTTGACCCATACAATGTTTTTTTGGCTATTGCTAAAAATATACCCCAGCGACTTAAGACTGGTTTTGTGCTCCAGGGTCACATGTAGTTTTCAGTAGAGGTCGACTGATTGAGGGGTTTTGCCGATTAATCGCCACCGATAGTTAATTGCTGGAACTATCGGCAAAAATCCAAGCCGATATTTTTCAGGGATGCATCCGTTGCTGGAGCGGCTGAGAAGAGTCTGCTGTCATTATACAGTTCGAGAGCGAGAGCGGCCTCTAGAGGCAGAAATCACTGATACCTCGTGCTGTTTTTGACACGTGAGTCTGCGCTGCATAGAGCGGGAAACCTCAGACGCGGACTTAATGCAGCCAGCAGAAAATCCTGCCGTGCCACAGAGCGCCATTCACATAGTTTTCCATTAAATTACATCATATTTGTCTCAAATCGTTGTTAATGTACATAATGACTTCACCCTAGGCTGTAAAATTGTGTATTGTCTAATTGTGTCTTTCTGTGGCTCTAATAAAGTATGCTTCATTTAGAGAGCTATAATATATATCATGCTTTCTCTTTCCGTTTGCCATTTATTTTTTAAACACTGCACTTCAAACTCATCTATGCCGCATTGTTCATTCTTGAAGTAAACTTATGTCCATGTAGTGATTAAATAAACCGTTTTGAATTGAACGCGATGCGCCTGATCTCCTAGACGCAGTGCTGCGCTTTTGCCCAGTGTGTGACTAACATGTTTTGTTAATTTGATAAGATAATTATCAAGTGTTCTAAAACAGAAGCAAATAAAGTGTGAGAGTATACATGCAATATCCATATTTATGTAGGCTAATTTAAATGCTATGGCCTTTGTGTAGATATTTAAAGTTGGCCATCTCTAAGCATGACTGCTGAAATTAAATGGTAACGCTTTACAATAAGAGTCCATTTGTAACATTCTGTTAACATTAGTTAATAAACTATTAACTAACTTTATGATCAATATAATAATTGATATTCATATTTTTATTCATTTACAAAGTATGGTTCAGTACTTTCTTTTAATAGCTAATAGTAATTGTAAAGCATTATTTTAGTTTTCGTTCAGTATCCATCGCTTGATTAATCGGTATCGGCCAGCGTGGTCCAACCTAGCTATCGGTATCGGTAAAGTCCACTATCGGTCGACCTCTAGTTTCCACGTGTGTGCTCTGATCAGAGCTTGTTGTAGTCTGTTCATCCATGAAGAGAAACCCATCAATAATAATCTCCCTCCTCTCTTTCTAAAGCCCATTATTCTGGCATGCCCCTTTCTTTGATGCTGATTTCTCATCCTTTCATCCTTTGTGTTTATCTGCTGACAACAAAGACACGCTCCTGTAATAAAGTTGTGCGTCAGAGCCATAGTGTGTCTGTGGGTCTGTCTGCTTGAGCATCGCTGTCTCTCAAGCGTCACTGCTGAAGACTCAGGGTTGAAAAGTGGCCTCATCAATATTGAATGCTTTAATGGGATTAATATTAATGCAGAAGGGCATCAAATATTCATTTCCCAGTGGATGCAGTCCTGAAAATATCCAGCTGGGTTAATCTCTCTTCACTGCACAGATTGAACAGAAACAGATACTTAATTTCTGCGTGTGCCGCCCATGCTGAGAGGAAACCAGAGATGCTGTTTCTGACAAATGACAGGAAGTAGAAAGAAACACAATCTCCTCCGCTAGACATTTAAACACCAACCTCACCTTGTGAAATTCATAGTCTTTTAAAATATTGTGGTGACTCTCACATTTAACCCTATAAGGCCTACTGTGTCATATTTGATATGCAGATTTCTTTGCTAAAAAAAGACATAATATTGGAGATATAGAGTGATGACTGATATTTATATCATTTTATGTAAGTATCTGCTATACGCTTATAAATATCACATTGATTTGCATTACAAGCATCACAATTTCATCTTACTGTTTGGTCATATAAAATAATTGCACCAAATGGCATGTTTTTGCTAAATTTGGACCGTCTGATTAAAAGTGCGCTGTTTTTCAGTTTTCTTGCTGCTAGAAATGATCATTCTGCAGGGAAAAGTGTCAGAAACACTCAATATGTCAGCTGTATGAATGGATGTTTTACCTTTCACATTTTTTGATGGCGTCATTGCCTGCAGTTTTTACTCCAGACTGTGACTGGTATATACTGTTTTTTTTATATATATTTTTTTTTTTAAATGATTTTTAGAGGAGCTGCGTTTATGATGTTTGGTTTTACCAGTGTTTGTGTGGTTTTAGCAGTGAGGTGATCATAAACGCATCTTCTCTTCTGCAGGAGTTCAGGGCGTTTGAGCTGTTGCGCAGCGGACTGGACCGATCCAAATACCTGCTGGTGAAAGAGGCCAAGATCATCGCCATGACCTGCACACACGCCGCCCTCAAACGCCACGACCTGGTGGAGTTGGGCTTCAAGGTATCGGTGTCATAGAGGACGTCAGCACTTTCCCATTTATGATAATTTGATTTTTTTTTTTTTTTTTGCTTTTACTGCGATTATGAAATATGTGGAAGAAATATGTGTCCAAACCTTTGATGTAGTGCACATCACAACAAGTGAGAATCGGTGTTTGTTTAAAATGGTCTGAATGAACTGATTCACTGAAATGAATCTTTTAGTCTACACTTAACATTAATGTTCGCTGCCTCAATATTCACATACTTGATCTTTCTCTAGTATGATAATATCCTGATGGAGGAGGCAGCTCAAATCCTGGAGATTGAGACCTTCATCCCGCTACTGCTACAGGTACAACCCTCTTTCTCCTAAAATCTTGTTTGGATGTTATATGTTGCGTTGTGGCGCACGTTGCACGTTAGGTTACGTGTTAGGTTACGTGTTGTGTTATTACATTATTTTAAATTGTGCATTGTTAAATGTTATATTATAATATATTTTTCAGGGGAAACTTTATTTTAGTCAAACAGCCGTTATTGCCAATTAAATACAAGCTAATACATAATAAAAATCTAGTTAAACATTAATCAAGACATGTTTTCTACACTGAAACCTTGCAAAAACATTTAGCTGATTTGCAAAAAATCTTAATTTGATAAGTTCAAAAGTAGAATTAAAACCTCTCCATCATGTACAGTTTTTATATAATTTAAAATATATTATATATAAATTATAATTTTATATAATTATAAAAGAATGAAGATTTTATTATTATATATAGATGTGTCAGCTTTAATACACTTATCATAATAAAGGCAGTCAAAGGTTTTGTTTTAATGACAAAAAGTGTTCAAGATGTATCACTTACAATCGGCAAAGGTGGAAATCACGATTAGGCATGAAATGTCTTCAGAATCATTCATACATGTGAAAATGGGCCTGAAAATTGAACACGCATGAAGACTGCAATCTTGTCCTTGTGGCAGTTTTTCTGGTAATAAAAGGGACGTGTTCTCCGGATGCAGGACATCACATTACAAATGGATGTCGAAAGCAAAAATGCTACTAAATGCACATCACATGTAGTGAGAAAGTGTGACGTACTTGAACCAAAATGATCAAGAATCAAGTATTGGATTTCATTCAGCAAATGTGATGCATGGCGTTGTTTTCACTCATCGAAATGGAGTTGTAACGTAACCTTACTGACTCAAACGTTTCTGTCTCTGTGTTACGCAGAATCCAGAGGACGGCTACAGTCGACTCAAACGCTGGATTATGATTGGTGATCATCATCAGTTGCCTCCTGTCATTAAGAACATGGCCTTTCAGAAATATTCAAACATGGAGCAGTCACTTTTTACTCGCTTTGTGCGTCTGGGTGTCCCTACTGTAGACTTGGACGCCCAGGGCAGAGCACGGGCCAGGTCAGTGGAAAGATGCTTTTAATACGTACCCATGTGATGTCATTATTAGTTTTAGTGTGAAAGCTGAAAGCTGCCTCAAAAGAATCATATAGGCTTGCTTGCATTAGATGAGTTTGTTTCTTCATCAGATTTGGAGAAATGTAGCATTGCATCAGTGTGTCAGCAATGGATGCTCTGCAGTGAATGGGTGCCGTCAGAATGAGAGTCCAAACAGCAGATAAAAACAGCACAATAAAAAAATAAATTTAATAATAATAATAATGCCAAAAGTACCTAACAAAATTACTGAAACATAACCTAAATTAAAAAGAACACTGTAGTGTAAGTATAAAAATAAAAGCGCATTCAAAATATTACATGCTGTAATAGTATATAAACATTCTAATAATCAGAAAAATACAAAGAAAAAAAATACACACATTTTGTGTAAAATAAGATACGATGCTTTAAAAAGCTGTTTAGTTAGATGGCTCTCTAGGTTTCAGAGCAGAGCTGTTCTGTCCTCAGATAAATTTTTTGTCTCTCTCTCTCTCTCTCTCTCGTGTGTGTGTGTGTGGCAGTCTGTGTAACCTGTATAACTGGCGCTATAAGCAGCTGGGGAACCTCCCTCATGTTCAGCTCCAGCCCGAGTTCCAGACACCGAACCCTGGATTCACCTACGACTTCCAGCTCGTTAATGTGGAGGACTTCAACGGCGTGGGGGAATCTGAACCCAACCCATACTTTTATCAGGTGAGCTCAGTTATATGACATACACGTGCATCACAAGCATTTCTTTTCTTCCCTGAATCATCATAAACAAGTGTCATTTTCAAAACACCTCAGAAATCGTCATTCATTATGTGGCGGAAATTACATTTTATACAATTTTGGAAGAAATGGCAGAACCCTTTGTCAGAATCTTTTCATAGCTAGAAATGTATTCATCTTAAATACAAATAAATAATTTCACTTTTTTTATCATTTGAAAATGACACAATAAAAAAAGTTATGTTCAGTTAAATAATATTTACTTAGATTTACGTAAGAATAACTCATGAAATGTCATGAAAACAAGTTTTATTACAGTAAATATTTTAACAACTATGTGTATAAACAATTATAGATTTAAAGGCAGAGTAAGTGATTTCTGGTAGCCAATGTTGATATTTGAAATCACCAAAACAAACACGCCCCTACCCCAAAAGGGTCTTGCCCCTATTTTGATAGCTCCGCCCCACATATACGTACGCAACCCAGGCAACGATTCGTTCTGTGAAACAAAGCAAAACCAATGTTACACCGTGTCTACGGACGTGAGCGGCGCGGTGCAACAAATCCCCGACAGAAAACTGCTGCCGGGTTCTATTTATGACGTGCTGACATACATTTCAAATGGTTTTCAACGGTCGTTTGACCTCTTTCTCGCGTCCAGTGTAGGCAGACTTTAGTTGTTGTAGACACGGTGTTACTCACCTATTGAGAAGAAACAAAGCAACCTCGGCGTCCGATCGCAGGCCTCCGCTCCTTGAGTTCTCTTCAGCGCTGGAAAGCTGATCCGATATTTACACGGGTCCTACTTCTTGCCTTATCGTTCCGCAGACGTTTTCCTCTTTTGTTTTTTATCCGCCATCTCTATCTTTCTGTCGCTCGGCTCGGCTAATGTCCGTCCCATGCACTGAAAGCTCTCTCCTCCACATCACGAGTAGACACGCCCCTTATTGCTGATTGGCTACAAGTTTGTTTTGCTATTCGGCCCGAATCAGTTTTCTAAAGTGTTTTTGAAAAATCACATACCCTGCCTTTACAAGTTTATTTAAAAAATGTATTTTGTGCTATTTAATTGTTTTGTTTTGTTTTTGGCTGAATAGAAAAAAAACAAAACAAAAAAAAACATTTTAGTGCAGTTATTTTTCTAAAAAAAATATATGTATATGTAATTGAAATCACACCATAGATATTGATGTGTTGTCTGTTTCACTTTTTGTAAATTCTCTGGTTAATATTTTTATGATGGATTTTTTCTGTAATTGACAGTTTGGATCTGGGACAAAAGAAAAAAAAATCTTTATATAATGGTAAAATAGCAAAGATTTAATTAAAGGCATGGATAAAAATTTCAATATGATCTTCATATACCAAAAAAGTAACATCCTCTTATGTTAAGTTGAGGAAAGACGAGGCCTAACTTTCATGACATGGGTATTTGAGAAGCTCCTGAAACTCGGCATTGTTCATAAGTGATGAGCGTACGGCATGCAGTGTGCAAGTCACATGAGTGCGGCTATGTGCCCCGCTACTGTTTACTGGGGTCCTGGAGGGAAGTGTCCTCATTACAGTATCCATGCCAACACTCTCACACACACACACACACTCTCACACACACACACACACACACGGCTCTAATGGGCCGTATGAATTAGCCTCTCACAGAGCAATAGGAAGGACATTGTTTGCACAGTCAGTGCTTGCAGCCGCTGAAGAAGCATCTCTTATTAGTAGGTTAGTACCCTTATTAGTGTCCTACTGGAGCTGTTGCCATATCAGCAGTGCTCTGTTAGGTAAAGTTTAAGCTCAGAGCTGTTTCACCTACAATTTCAACCCATAGGTTTAGCCTTTTTTTTTTTTTGATAGTCAGATTAGGTCAAGAGAAGGGTTCAATTTAGTTTTGCATATTTTTTTTTAGATTATTTGTAATACTTTACAATTGGTAAAGATTATTGACAATTACATTTTTAAATAAAGCATTACGCCATCACTGGTATGGTGTTGCATAATGATCAAACATTTTTAGTCAAATTAGAAAGTAGTTAGAAATTAGACTTGCATATTCCTATTTGGGTTTTCTGGTTTTACTATTCCTGTAGTCAAATGCAGTGCTTTTTGCCCTTGTAGCTTTTATTGCAATTGTAAAGGCCATTGCACAGTGAGTCCGAAATGTTCGCGCGTTAAAAAAAAAATACGACCTCGCGTTGTGTCAATCATGTTTACACACTGCCTCCGAAACTTTCATCCGTCATAAAAAATTTAGATCAGGATCAATATTGTGCATTTCAAAAGCAAAGAATGACGAATATGAAAAAACGAAGGGAAAAAAATAAAAAACGCATACGAAAATGTCTGACTCTGTGTGCAAGGACCTTAAGTATTTCTTAAAAAAAAAAAAGCTAAATCTTACGTCAGGACATCAACTTCACTTATTTTCCCTGAAGTGTGATATTGTGATAAAGGAAAGCTAATATGTAATCTAATACTAATTTAATGTTTTTTTTTTTACATCTGATGGGATGATGGGATCTGTTAAGCTTTGTATAGTGTTTTTAAAGGTCTTTTTAAAGGTTTTTAAACAAAAAAGAGTGCAGTGCTTGTTCATTATTACATTGTAAACCTGTTCACATCTGAACATTTATTAGAGCAACACTAAATGAACATATGCTGAACGTGCATGCTTTCAGGTGTTAATTCAAATACAGCTGTTTGTTATGTAAATGTCCTTATTACATTGTCTTTATACTGCAGTAAAATCAACCACAAAAACTCAGCCGGTTGTTGCAATGTTGCAATATTGATATGCTGTCCTGTAAAAGTGCATGGGATTCCTGAAGAAGCTTACATTGATAATCAATAACGTTAACCAAGATCAGTCAGTCTAGTTTGTTTAACGCTCTTTCGTTCTTTACTTGCTTTCTGTTTTGATTTCTCTTGAGGTCTAACATAAAAACACTCTTGCTTCCGTCATTTACTCATGTCATGAAATAGATCAAACTCATTGAAAAGACTCAAAATATTATAAAGCGGTTTGATTTTTGTAATATTGTAAATATTGTCAGCACATTATGAACTGTCTCGTGAGAGATGCTGAATGCATGTGACGTGTGTGTGTGTGTGTGTGTGTGTGTGTGTGTTTGTAGAATCTGGCGGAGGCCGAGTATGTGGTGGCGCTGTACATGTACATGCGTCTGCTGGGATATCCTGCTGAACGCATTAGCATACTGACCACCTACAACGGCCAGAAACACCTGATACGAGACGTCATCAACCAGAGATGTGCCAGCAACTCCTTCTTCGGACAGCCCAGTAAAGTAAGAGCAGCTGATACCATGATTTCATGTTTTATCTTCAGAAGCGATGATCCACGATGCTGATGCATGGCCGAGTGAACTGCATTAATGTGTGTGAACAGCTTGTCCTGTGCTCTAAATTAGTTGTTTTTTTCTGCCCAGCGTTCACTATTTTGCCTCTTTTGCAGCAGTGGACAGGTTTGCTGTAGCTTGTTGTTGAGGGTGATTGGCAGACGGACTCACTAAAGTGTGTAAAGGTCCTACTGGCTGAGTACAAACCAAATAAATAGACGACTGCCGTTCGCACAGACATTTAGTTTATGAGCATTCAAGACTGCAAAACAACAATCTCATTGACGTAATGAAGACTTTTCTTCTGTGGTTCACTGGAAGAGACTGGATTTAAAGGAGTCATCATTTACTTTGTAGAACAAAAACGAGAAATTTAATACATTGGAATACATTGGAAGTTAATGGGGCTATAAAATTGGTCCGTGATCAATTTCAGAGTCTTCTGAGGTCATATGATTCATTTTTTGAGCCTGATATCGTAGGTTTCCTAACATCTCCTTAGATTTCATGTTTTATCTTCAGAAGCGATGACCCACGATGCTGATGCATGGCCGAGTGAACTGCATTAATGTGTGTGAACAGCTTGTCCTATGCTCTAAATGAGTTGTTTTTTTTCTGCCCAGCGTTCACTATTTTGCCTCTTTTGCAGCAGTGGACAGGTTTGCTGTAGCTTGTTGTTGAGGGTGATTGGCAGACGGACTCACTAAAGTGTGTAAAGGTCCTACTGGCTGAGTACAAACCAAATAAATAGACGACTGCCGTTCGCACAGACATTTAGTTTATGAGCATTCAAGACTGCAAAACAACAATCTCATTGACGTAATGAAGACTTTTCTTCTGTGGTTCACTGGAAGAGACTGGATTTAAAGGAGTCATCATTTACTTTGTAGAACAAAAACGAGAAATTTAATACATTGGAATACATTGGAAGTTAATGGGGCTATAAAATTGGTCCGTGATCAATTTCAGAGTCTTCTGAGGTCATATGATTCATTTTTTGAGCCTGATATCGTAGGTCTCCTAACATCTCCTTATGTTTTCAATGGATGAAAAAAAAAAAGTCATGAGTTTGTAGTGACCAGTGGTATTTTTACGCGAGTACATTTGTCAAGTATCTGTACTTTATCAGAGTGTTTTTTATTTTGGTAAACTTTATTTCACAACATTTCAGAGCATAATGTCACACTTTTGACTCCACAACATTTCATAAAAACATATCGTGGAGAAATCGTGAACCAGCTGATTCTTTTCAGTAAATCTGTTGAATCGGTTCGCAAATCGCACCGAATGATTTTCTGTGAATTAAACCTGCTGTAACAAGGTCAGATCAATACATATCCAATATCTTCAATATCTTTATCCACAAATCTAAGTTTAAATATATAGTTCAGTCATGAAACTCTAGATGGCGCAGGCTGACTGGTTGTTAATGCAACTGATGATATTCAGAGAGTTAAATGACTTGGCACAAGCCGATTGGTTCATGCTGCATATGCAGCCAATGAGCTTACTGCCTTGCATTTATATGGCTGGCTAGCACTCACTTGAGATTCCTGCAGCGCGCTTTCAGAGTTTCTCTAAACCCCTCCACCTTCCCCAGGCATTGGCAGTAGCCAGTTCCTGTACTTGCTTGCAGCAGCAGCAATAATCTACAACTACAGCAATAACCAACAGCAGCAGCAATTCAGCAGCAGCGTAGCAGATCTGTTCCGCCAAGACCAAATACATCCATCACCATGCTAAAATCTTCAGAGAGTTGTCATGATTGAACTAAATTAAGAGTAAGAAAAGAGAAAAATCCCTCAATGCATTTGTCTTTCAGATTCTTAAAATACTTGCTTTTTTTTTTCTTTGTTCCCTTTTTTACGATATTTGTTTGTATGCTTAGCATACATTTGTTTTAATTTCTTAGTAATAATAATTATTTTAATAAATGCTTCTAATTTAATAAAAATGCACAAATAAATTTGATATTCAAAGTCGGCTTTTCCACCCCTAGAAATACACATTTCATTGATCAGTACTTTTTACATTTAATACTTAAGTAAAGATTAAAATAAAGGGCTTTCATTTTACTTGTTCAATACTAAAATTACTTAAATACTTACTGGGTCAGAATTTTGTTAGGTTATCTGTACTTTTATTTGATTTGACTGCTTTGTGCACCACAAGTAATGACAAATGAGGGTGAGTAGAATTTCATACTGGTTTCTTCTTTAAATAAAAAAGTAAAAATTAGCATGGTATTATAATGTTATACTAAAACTCAAATTAAAACAATGGAAAAGCTGTAGAAAGAAAAAAAACATCTTAAGCACGCAGAATAACATAAGTGGACTTTGAATGATTAATTGCCGCTGTGAACAATTATGTAATTGTGGCATCAGTAAAACACTTGCACTCTCTATTCCATTTCTGTTCTAACTACTTGTTTTCTTTAAAAAGAAAAGAAAACAGCCTCTAACACTAGCATTCTATATTCTTTTTCTATTCTTTTGACTTATTTTTATTTTTTAAAAATGACCCTCTAACACTAACATTCTCTATTCTTTTTCTATTCTTTTGATTTTGATTTTGATTTTTATTTTAAAAAAGCCCCTCTAACACTAACATTCTCTATTCTTTTTCTATTCTTTTGACTTTTATTTTTATTTTAAAAAAGCCCCTCTAACACTAACATTCTCTATTCTTTTGACTTTTATTTTTATTAAAAAAAGCCCCTCTAACGCTAACTAGCCCTCTGAATTAAGACAGCAGCTCACTTGCCAGTCCTGCTCATGGTATCATCTCAATATTGTACAATATTGCACCATTTGGCATTAGTCTTGTGTTTGTTTTAAATAGTGTCGAATCAAATGGAGAAAATCAAATATTAACTTCTTTCCGTCTTGACATTATTTCTGTCACAGATTTCCAAGTAGAAAAGTGTTCGTGTAAGACGTCGTCCACAGATCCAGTTTCAGCTGAGGAGCGCAAATTTCCACGAGGCCCACTTCCACTTACTTGAAGATACGAGGGAATATATGAAATGTAACAAATGAAAGAACTTATCTGACTGGTGGCTGAAATGTTGCTGAGTTTGGCTGATTTTACTCGTCATGGAGTTGATGATATTTGATGATTCAGTCAGTAAGAGTTTCTGAGCTAAAGGAAGAGTCCTGTTGACTTGATCACATTCTGAGATACACACACGTTCTCTCCTTTGACACTCATGTGACTCATGAATGAGTTTCGATCATGGTTTCAACAGGATGAAGTGACAGTCCATAACTTCAGAAATCTAGATCTGATCAGACAGTAGTGTGCAAATCTAAGTAGCACTAAACCAGTGCAGAGGAGCTCATGCTCTTCAGTTCAAATAAACCCTCCACCCTCATCACTTATATAACAGACTGCCCTTTGTCTTGTAGGTGACCACAGTGGACAGGTTCCAGGGTCAACAGAACGATTACATCATCCTCTCGCTGGTCCGCACCAAAGCCGTAGGACATTTGAGGTGAGCACTTCCTGTGGCTGTTTGATTATCATTAAAATATGTGGTTTAAAGTAACAAAAACCACATGTGACTTATTTAAAACCATCTAATTCTGGTTTAAAAATGTGGTTAAATGTAGCAAAATCAGTGTTATTTTGCTATCATTGAAATACTAGATTATTGTGTTAATTTTAGTTTAAGGTTTAGTAATGTTGTATTTTTATTTGTCATTTTTATTCGTTTTTAAATATGTCCATATTAATTTTTATTTCAGTTTTAAGTTAAACTAAACGAGAATGAGATGCTTTGCCTTGGAAACTAGCTGAAATTAAATTTGTTATATTATTATATGACAATATTATAATATATATGTGAGCCTGGAGCACAAAAGCAGTCTTAAGTCGCTGGGGTATATTTGTAGCAATAGCCAACAATACATTGTATGGGTCACAATTATTGATTTTTCTTTTATGCCAAAAATCATTAGGATATTAAGTCACTTAAGACTGGTTTTGTGGTCCAGGGTCACATATTATATATTATACAAGTTATGAAAATGTTTTTATGGTTTTACTTAACTATAATACCCATGAACAAAACAAATCACTTTTTAAAATTGACCAAGGCATATTTAAAGCTGTTGTTTAAAAATATTAGCTACACATAACAATTAAATAATTCATTAATTAATCATTTCTAATTTTTTTAAATATAAATATTAACTGAAATAAAATTAAATGTTAAAAATGTAAAGTTTTTATTATTTCAGCTAGTTAAAAGTTCTCATTTTCGTTTAGTTTTAGTTCAAGGACTACAATATCTAAAACAAAAAATTAATAAATAAAAATAATGAAATAAAAAAAATTCTATGTTAACATGTTAAAACAAAACAATAAAATGACTAAAACTGAAGTGTAAACAAAATATAAAAGTCAAATCAAATTCAAAATATTAACAAAAACTACAATAGTATGTTAAAATAACACTGCTCCACAGATCTGTTCTCGGAAGTGACTGCTGTTTTCTGTCTTTCCTCAGAGATGTGCGCCGTCTGGTTGTGGCCATGTCTCGTGCGAGGCTCGGCCTCTACATATTTGCTCGAGTGTCTCTCTTCCAGAACTGCTACGAGCTGACGCCAGCCTTTAGCCAGCTGACCGCCCGACCCCTGCAGCTGCACATCCGGCCCCATCAATACTACAGCTCTGTGAGTACAGCCGGCACGTCACACCTCAACATGGTTCTCGGCTTGCTGGAGAAATCGGATTTTTGCGATAGTTTCGAAAATCAATCAGTTGCAATAGAGTTATATTAGTGCTATATTATATTATTGTTATATTATATTAGTCTCATAGCAGAACTGCAAAAATAAAGCATATTTTCAAATAACTTTTGCAAACACCCTTACACTCATCTTGCACTTTTTATTTGTACTACTTTATCTGGGGTTTGACAGTAAAGAGCTAATATGTGACCCTGAAGCACAAAAGCAGTCTTAAGTCGCTGGGGTATATTTGTAGCAATAGCCAAAAATACATTGTATGGGTCAAAATTATCAATTTTTCTTTTATGCCAGAAATCATTAGAATATTAAGTAAAGATCATGTTCCATGAAGATATTTTGTAAATTTCCTACTGTAAATATAATAAAACTTAATTTTTGATTAGTAATATGCATTGCTAAGAACTTCATTTGGACAACTTTAAAGATGATTTTCTCAATATTTAGATTTTTTTGCACCCTCAGATTACAGATTTTCAAATAGTTGTATCTCGACCAAATATTGTCCTATCCTAACAAAAACCATACATCAATGGAAAGCTTATTTATTCAGCTTTCATGTGATGTATAAATCTCAATTTCGAAAAATTGACCCTTATGACTGGTTTTGTGGTCCAGGGTTACATATGTGGTGAAAACTTGAGTTTAGCTTCACCGTATCGATTGAAACCCAAACTTTCTATCAAATTCCTCCATCTTATAAAAGCGCCACCAGTGTTTGCTGTTGTTTTACCTTGTTGACTGTATGTGTGTTTTGGAAATGGGAAAAAGTGATCGAGAAATATTAAACTACTCACAGTTGTTTATTGTATCTAGCTATATTTTAAGTTTGCTGCAAAATATACACAAATATTATGATATACGATTGCGTCATTTGTGGTGCTTGATGAGAGTTTGTGTTCATTACAAAGCTCTTTTGGCATGGTTCCTTCACCATGACTTGCTGATTGGTGTCATTTTCTGTACAGCATCCTGGGTAATGTAGTATTTCAGCTGTAAAACGATGATTTAAAAATAAGATAATCCATACTAGGGCTGTCACAACGATTATTTTAGTAATTGGTCAATTCTTTTGCTGATAAATCAATTAATCGGATCATTTTTTGTGATAACGAAAATGGACCTAAGCAAATAGACTTAAACTTTACTTAAAATACATATATAATAGCAATGAGGCAATAATAATCATATGGTTTTCTTGAACAAAACTGTTCAAATACATACTAATGTAATAATATAGCTCATATTAAACCTGCAGCGCATATATTCACAATGGCACTGTGCTTTATAAAAGCAATAAGCCCCAAGAAGCCGTGGTTTACAGTGAATTTATAACAGCTAAGGGGCGTTGTTAGGCACGATGCGAAGCGGAGTGACTAAAACCCCTTTAGCTGTTATAAATTCACTGTAAACCACGGCTTCTTGGGGCTTATTGCTTTTATAAAACGGTTATTCCATATACGTAGTAAGGTTTCACAGAATAAAACAGAGCAAATAAAGTGTAATGATATTAATAAAAACAGTATTCTTCCACCAAACAATGTAGTTCTTCAGAAACAGTTGTGGTTGCAATAAAGTGGTTGCCAAGCAACACACAAACGTAAACAAAGGCGTATATTTGTAGAGTAATTTAAAACAGTTGTGGTTGCAACAAAGTGGTTGCCGAGCAGCACACAGAAGTAAACAAAGGTGTGTGTTTGTAGAGTAATTTACAACAGCTTCGAACGTGGCTCAGCCAATCAGCATCAAGGACCGGAACTATCAGTTTTATAATATGAACTTTAAATGGTTTTAATATTCCGTGCAGCCTTAGAAAATTGACTAATAATGCTTTTCATGGATTCTCTTTTGTGGAATGCGCAATTTATTTTTTTTAAATAATCGAGTACTCAAATTTAATCGAGCAATCATAACAGCCCCAATCTGTACTGATAGCTTCAACAAAAACATCATACAATCAATGAGCAACTACATAGCTCACAGTAGGTCTGTCTTTGAAGGTTTATATGTTTTTGTTCAAAATCTGTTTCTCTATGGAGAAAATGAAAGAAATGTTTACTTCCTGAACCTGATGCCATGTAACTAAGACCTAGTGTCTCCTGCAGCTTTATAACATGAGTAGCGGAAGACATCTGTTTTTGTGAATTTAATCTTTATATCATCACTAGGTTTGAATGATATCAGTCAGCTTTCTCTTTCTCTCTCAGGAAAAAACGTATATGTTGACACGCTGTTTTAAATTTGAGTCTTGTGACTGAGTGAAAGAGAATTTCTGTTTCCTGGAAGACTTGTGCTGAAGCCTCTCTCCTCTTCTCTCTCCCTCCCTCCATCCAGACGGAGGAGCGATCCCGGCCTGATCAGGTGGTCAAGAACATGCCGGAGATGGCTAACCTGGTTTACAACATGTACATGCACATGATTCAGAGCATGCAGCAGCACAGACAAGTAAGTGTGCTCGTGTTTGCAGAGACGTTTCTGACGTATAATGCAGAGCTTTAAACAGCTCGGACGTGTGAGCAACTATCCTTGAATAGAGCACAAAGTGGTGTCACATGACTTTAAGCAATAAAAATGTATTTGTTTTCTCTCTTGTGACGATAAATGATCCAGTGTGTTGCAGAGTGAGTTAACTCCTGCTGAGTGATTCAGTCTTATTTTGATTGTATCTGTTTTAAACCCCAAACAAACCAATTATGGTAATTATATTGCGAAATTTGCAATAGAAAATTAAGCAGCTCCTATAATATATAGTTTGAGCTCCTGAGGTTATCAGACAACATTCTTTAAAGGTTAAGCACTTAAATTACAATAAAAATTACTCAATTTAGTTAGAGCTTCAAGCCCGATTTTGTAGCATTTGTAAAAATGACACACTGCAGGTGAACACGAGTATGACATTCTGAAGGAAGTAAACGGCTGGTCTGTCTGTTGTAGTTTGGATGTCTTGTTTTGAACGTCAGAGCCTCATGCTAATTAAACTGCTGCTTTGCTTCACTCATTGGCTGAATTCACATGCGATGCAGCTGTGATTTTCAATGCTGTCAAATTTTTTGCCATGAATAAAGCAAGGTCCCAATGGGACCTTTTGGGTTTTGAGCCCAGTTTGGGTCAGTTTTTGTAGTGTAATTCAATTTTCAGTTGGAAGTCCATAAAAAATTAAATAGTTATAGATATTATTTTGTTTTGATTTTAACGCAACTCGTGTCAGAGGCAGAGCAAGTTATTTGCCATTCTGACTGAATTTCCATTCACATGATTTGTGCAAATCCAGTAATGCATAACTGAAGGGAACTGACTTTAAAGACGGTTTAACTGCATTTTGCATGTTGTATGATGCTCAATAAAGTAGTGCTTCTAACTTTGTGTAAAGAACTAACTGGGGTAACCGCTGTATTTCTGCATTTCTTACTGCCAGAGAATGAATTTGCATTTTCATTCAGCCCATCTGCTGTTTTTGTTCTGACCAATTAAATGCATAACATAGTCAATGATTATGCTTAAATATGAGGTTTATATAAACTTATTTTTGTCAAATTTTCTATTTTTTTGCACTGTAAAATTGTTTCAAAATATAGTTTTTCACTCATTTTAGGGTTTAGAATGTTAATATAGACATTGGTGTTGTTTCAAAGCAGTAAATGAGTAAAAAAAAAAATAATTTTATTAAGAGGACAAAATATTACAGATGCAGGCGAATGCACTGCAAGTTAACACTGAGATGCTGAGATTGTAACTCAAAGGAACCACACTGGGGATCTTTTCTTTCAAACGGTACGGTGTCTGATTCATACGTTATGTTTGATTCACGGTTAATGATTCATTTACTGCTTCTCTTTCTGCAGCAGCAGCAGCTCCTGGATCCTCCTCGTCAGCTGCTGAGCTCAGAGGAGCCCATGGAGGCCGATGAAGAGTGTCCCGAGACTCCGAGTGAAGAGCAGCAGCCGACGGCCGCTGAGGAAGAGGAGGGACAGACGAAGAATGATGAGGAAGAGCAGGATCATACCAAAATGCCTGAACACCCAGGCCGAGACAGCGACAGCGGCGACAGTGATGAGGATGGAGAGGCCTAGAGAACCTCATTCACCTGCAGATGGTTTTGTTGTTTTTTTTAGATTATTACCGTTTACCATTACATTGAGAGTTGAATGTTCATTCATCTTTTGTAAGAGGAATTTTGTAATAAAAATTAATAAAAAAATGCACTCATTAAGTCTTTTATTTGTTTATCTAACACACCATAGTTTTCCCCTAAAAATCATATTAAAAGCAGAGTAAGTGATTTCTGGTAGCCAATGTTGATATTTGAAATCACCAAAACAAACATGCCCCTACCCCAAAAGGGTCTTGCCCCTATTTTGATAGCTCCGCCCCACATATACGTACGCACCCCAGGCAACGATTAGTTCTGTGAAACAAAGCAAAACCAATGTTACACCGTGTCTACGGACGTGAGCAGTGCGGCGCAACAAATCCCGACAGAAAAGACTTGCAGTGTTTGGTCAGTAACACAACAGGATGAGCTAAATGTGATTTAACCTTTAAATGCGGATTTAAAGAGTGTTTTATATGTAGTGTTTCATCAGCTTGCAGAATGAGTTTTGTAAATGGTCTCATTAATAGCTGGACATTTGAAACAAAAGCATACAAGTTTGCGCCACTCCAGAGCAGAATGTACTGACACAGCAGCATGAGACTGATGGTGTGATTTCCTCAATCCAGCCGTGGCTTTTACTGTCAGTTATTGCAGTAGACAGACCGCACGCTAAACCATTGCTTCTGGACTAAATACGAGTCCATAAACGTTTCCTCCAGTGATAAAGTCCATCTCCTGTTGTCTCTCACATCAAAATCCAGCCACATTTTTGTTTAGAGCGGTTTTGTTTTAGTTTGTAAAAAGTGCTGGATCTGTGCAGATTTCTCTCCTGATTCAGACCAGAACACTTTTTCACTGGAGGAAGCGTTATGGATTATGGACTCATAAGCAACAGTTTGAAGATAAAAACGTCTTGATGGATTTGTTTCAGCTTTGGTCTTCTCCAGATGTGAACTGATGGACTGGAGTGCTGTGGATTATTGTGATGTTTTTATCAGCTGTTTGGACTCTCATTCTGACGGCACCCATTCACTGCAGAGCATCCATTGCTGAGACACTGATGCAGTGCTACATTTCTCCAAATCTGCTGGAGAAACACTCTCGTGCCATCGAAGAGGTAGATGAGTTTGTGTAGATTTCTGCAAATTGTCAGTTTCCGGGTGAACTGTCCCTTTAAGGGAGTGATGTATCTGATCTCACTCTCTCCTAATTACTGCTCTCATTAGCACTGAAACTCTATTGCAGTGATGTATTAATATTCTGAAGGCAGGAGTGTGTTTGCATCCTAATTAAAACCCAAATTCTTCCTCTGGAGAACAGCGCTGCTTGGTAAAGTGACTTTGAAAAAAGAGTTGCGTGTGAATGAAATGTTAAAAAGCTGTGTTTTGTATTCCTGCAGCGGAGGATGTCGTGCGGCTCGTGTTTCTGGGGCATCGTCTGGCTGCTGGTGCTGCTGGTTCTCGGCTGGCCCTTGAGCATTATGCTGGGGGGTCTGTACGGCCTCGTCGCCCCTCTCACCGTCTGCCTGGGTCTGGACCGGCTGGCCGACCTGCTGATGGAGGGGGCCAATCTGGGCAGAAAGTGTGCCCAGAACATGCGTCACGGCAAAGCGCTGTGCTGAGACCAATAGCCAAGAAGAGTGCTCAGCCTCCACATCTCTTCACTTCAGCTGTATTAATACTCAACATGAACTGTTTTTGCCAGTTTACTGTGTCTTTGATTCTCTGTGACTAGAACATGATGCTTTCTTAAAGCCTTAGTATCACTTTCTTGCTTCCTCTCTGTATCTCTTTCTCTTAGGCTGTTTGAATATGAAAAATGACAGTCTTCTGGTACTGATGTCTGAGTTCACAATGTTGAAACACATGAGTATACTTATATTACAAGAAGAGTTTGTTAAACTCTCTTCTCCAGAGACTTCATGAGACCTTTGTGCGGTCCAGGACGCAAGATGCAGTTCTTCAAAACCAGCCGCCGAGTCTCCATACAGGCCATAAAACAGTCCATTTCAGGTCAAGAAAGTGCAGAAGAAAAAGTTTATATCTGTGCATTATTGTGCATTATTCTGTTTAAATCGATTTGTCAACAGTCTGATAGAAAAACAATCTGTACTGTCATGTCAAATACTTATATTTAGAACCGCAACATTCCCATTATTCTCACAGATTAATGAATAAACTGATTTTCAGCTCTATGTACTGCAACATTATACTTAACTAAAACTTTTTTGTTACTTGAAATAAACAAAATTATATATATTATTTTATATATATATATATATATATATTTATTCTTTGTTATTGAATTCATGGCTGCTGAAAGGTGGAAAGACTAATATCCTGAAGATCCCCTGATTTTAATAATGATTCAATAAATATCTGATGGTGATGATCAGACGTCAAGCTGTGAAACGTTTTGGAGAAAGAGAGAAAAACAATGCATGAAGCTTTCTTTAAAAAAAAAAAAAATACAGTCAGCCTTTAGTTTAGGGGTCAATTCTCACTATATGTTACAAAAAAACAAGTTTCTTTCCATTCTGTCACCGATGGAGTTTTGGTTCCTTGCCGCTGTTGCCTCTGGCTGCACTGATCTACTGAGGAAACATGAAATTCGTGATTTGCCCACCACACGTGTATTAAATACAACAGTCATTTTGTGTTTCTATATATATATATACTGTTTATATATATTCTTTGTTATTGAATTCATGGCTGCTGAAAGGTGGAAAGACTAATATCCTGAAGATCCCCTGATTTTAATAATGATTCAATAAATATCTGATGGTGATGATCAGACGTCAAGCTAGCTAACGTTTTGGAGAAAGAGAGAAAAACAATGCATGAAGCTTTCTTTAAAAAAAATTGAGATGCACCTGTAAATAAAGGTGACGACCTGACTATTAACTATGGCTTTTGCCTTCATAAACTCCTGATTACTGCTTATTAATATTTATTAAGGTAGTTGTTAAGTTTGGGTATGGGGGAGATATTAAAAGATCTAAAATATCATCATGCAGAATAAGGCATTAATATGTGTTTTACAAGTCAACAGCCATTATGCTAGTCACATGCATGCTTATAAGCAACTAGTTAATAGTGAGAATTGATCCCTAAACTAGTGTTACCAAAATGACTTTTTTTTTTTTTTAAGTTTGATATGCAAGTACTGAGTGATGCTCTGAGGGCAGGTTGTTTTAGGAGTGATGATGAAATAGTACATTTGTGTTGAGCATAATAATTATCTCTGATGAATATTAAAGTGGAAATGTTTCTATTTTTAAATCTGCTGGCAGGTTAAGGGACATGTTTAGTCTCATGTATGAAGAATCAGAGCTCGCTTTCATCCGTAGGTTCAGGATATGAGAGGAAATGTGAGTTCACATGGGATTGTGCTGAGTTTGTATGGAGGCGGTAACTGGAGACTGACTGTGGTGTCAGATTAGAGAGACATCAGGAACTGCAGATCCAAGCAGTGTAACCAGAGAAACCTTCAGATCTCCAGCAGCTCATTCAGTGCTGCCCTCTGCAGGACCAGAGTAACACATCTGACAGCCCATCTATCAGTCCATCCATCCGTCCATCCATCAGTCCATCCATCCATCAGCCCATCCATCAGTCCATCCATCAGTCCATCAGCCCATCCATCAGCCCATCCATCTGTCAGTCCATCCATCAGCCCGTCCATCAGTCCGTCCATCCATCAGCCCATCCATCAGCTCATCCATCAGTCCGTCCATCCATCAGTCCATCCATCAGCCCATCCATCAGTCCGTCCATCCATCTATCAGTCAATCCGTCCATCCATCAGTCCATCCGTCCATCCATCAGCCCATCCATCAGTCCATCAGCCCATCTATCAGTCAATCCGTCCATCCATCAGTCCATCCGTCCATCCATCAGCCCATCCATCAGTCCATCAGCCCATCTATCAGTCAATCCGTCCATCCATCAGTCCATCCGTCCATCCATCAGCCCATCCATCAGTCTGTTCATCCATCAGCCCATCCATCAGCCCATCCATCAGTCCGTCCATCCATCAGCCCATCCATCAGTCTGTTCATCCATCAGCCCATCCATCAGCCCATCCATCAGTCCGTCCATCCATCAGCCCATCCATCAGTCTGTTCATCCATCAGCCCATCCATCAGCCCATCCATCAGTCCGTCCATCCATCAGCCCATCCATCAGTCCATCAGCCCATCTATCAGTCCATCAGCCCATCCTTCCATCCATCATTCCATCCATCAGTCCATCCGTCAGTCATCCTTCCATCCATCAGTCCATCCATCAGTCCATCCATCAGCCCATCCATCAGTCATCCTTCCATCCATCATTCCATCCATCAGTCCATCCGTCAGTCATCCTTCCATCCATCAGTCCATCCATCAGTCCATCCATCAGCCCATCCATCAGTCATCCTTCCATCCATCATTCCATCCATCAGTCCATCCGTCAGTCATCCTTCCATCCATCAGTCCATCCATCAGTCCATCCATCAGCCCATCCATCAGTCATCCTTCCATCCATCAGTCCATCCATCAGTCCATCCATCAGCCCATCCATCAGTCATCCTTCCATCCATCATTCCATCCATCAGTCCGTCCGTCCGTCCGTCCGTCCGTCTGTCTGTCATTCTATCTATCCATCTATCCATCTATCTATATGTCTGTCTGTCTGTCATACTATCTATCTATCTATCTATCTGTTTATCTGTCTGTCTGTCTTTCTTTCTTTCTTTCTGTCTGTCTATCCGTCTATCCGTCCATCTATCTATCTATCTATCTATCTATCTATCTATCTATCTATGTCTCTTGTTCTAACTGTCATTCTGTCTACTATCGTTCTATCCTTCCATCTGTTGGTCTGTTAATAAACAATTTTTATATTGTTAATACTGTGATGACTGCACAAGTCCCAGTTCCTCTGTTTGTGCACAGTCTCTCTCTGTCTTTGTCTCTTTTCCTCCCAACAGTCCTGAGGGGAGCCTTCACCAGCCAAAATTGCCTGGTTTTAATTTCAAGTTTGTGCTGGCAGCGCGGGCCGTACGCACAGGGCTGCCTCGCTGCGTGCGGTGGAGGAAGCACATTTGACAGCCGCTGTGGT